GCGCCAGCGAAGTGGGCAGCTGGTCGTACTCGCAGCGCCAGAGCCGCAGCCTGTGCGTGGCGGAGGGCGCGGCCAAGAGCGACCTGATGGTTTTCAGCCCCAACTTCCCGCCGCCGCCCGGCGCCGCGGCCAAGGACACGCAGCAGGAGCCTCCCTCTCTCCTCGACACGGTCAGTGGCCCTTCCTCCCTTGTCTCTACCTCCTCTCCCGCCCCCTGCACAGGCAATGCCCGGAGCCAGTCTCTCTTTCCGCAGTCGCAGGGCGGTGGGTACTTTGCAGGTGATTTAGGATGTGGACGGCCCCTTTGCTCCTACCGCGGTGTCTTTCCGTAGCACCATCTCTCTTGCTTAGGTGAGGCCAAAGTGAAGGTCTTGCGGCACTCTGAAGCAGGTGCACAGGTGAGGTTTGCTGCTGAGGGTGGCAGCTGTTCTGCCCCAGAATTAGATTCCCTCTGTTTTGCCCATTGCGTGAGAGGTGTGCCGAGGTGTCAGCTCAGGCAGCTCTTTAGCATTTCCACCCGATCCTATTAAGGGAGGGGAACTCCTGGCTGAAATGTTTGCACTGTGTTATTTGCCTTGCTGACTGTGTTGGTATTAGTCCAGTCTCTTATGGAAAACTACCTTCCTCCTCTTTGATTCTGCTCACAAATTGATGTGAAGCAAGGTGACCGTTAGGACTTCAAGGAATTAAAAAGTTCTCCACTTTCATCCTACCATCAGATGTCTTAGAAAAGAGGGGGAGGTGTAACACTTTCATATTTCTATGATCTTTTTGCAAGTACAGACTTTAAGTATAAAGTATTCAGGCAAATATGTTAGAAATGGAACACTTGTTTTTCTTTTCCTGTTGCCCCTGTTCTGCTTGTGGGCATATGTTCCTGGACGGTAATGTGTTGTACACTCTCCATTTTTATGTATTCTTTCAAATTTGTGTTAACACGACATAATTTAAAAGCTGTGAAAGTTATCTTTTGTGCAGTGAACAAACTAACATATTCAAAATCCCTGAAACCAGAGAACAAGAACTCTCTGCCAAACGTTGAATAACAAGCTATTACATGTTCATCATGATGTATTACACTGGTGTTCTCACCAGTTTTTCAGTTTTTCTCTCAGAGCATGACATCAATGCCATTGCCATTTAGAGCTGTCATGACATCACCTTTGGGAAGAGTTTTGCTGCCAACTCTGCCACCTTTCCATCTGAGATAGCTGAAGGAATGCCAAATGTGACAGGTCAGCTGGAGAGGGTCTGCTGTGTCCTGTGCATGTGACACCATCTGTGTGTTTTGAAGGTGATGTCATTGCTGGGGAGGAGTGAGTTAAATGGGTCTTGAGGTGAGTAAGAAAACCGTGGCCTGTAGTATTGAGCAGGGCCTGGCTGTTTCCTGATTTGAAAGGTGATCTTGAGCAGTGGGATCTTGAATTGTGTGGGAGAACTGGAAATCCTTGGGAAGAGCATGGGCCATGTTCCAAGGCAAGAATGGGAGATGAGGTGTTTGTCTTGAGAAGACATCTTGGAGAGGGGACTGAAGGATGCTCAGAGAAAAGCAAGATGAGCAGTGATCTCCTATCAGAGACAGTCTCTTGTGGTGCTGCCTGCCTGGGGTAGGCCATGTGTTGGTCATAGGGGGTGAGATGCAGCGTGCTGAGTGTTGTGTGATGAACCACTTGTTTTGAAACCGGTGCTGTGGGAGGGGAACGCTTAAACTTGCTGTCCCTGTGTAGTGGTGAGTATCCCTAGGTGTTTGCACAACTGCTGATGTTGTCATGATGGTTTCTTGCTCCTCCTCAGGTGGGATTTGTAAGTACACTTGCTGAGTTGGGTGTAATCTCTGTGTGCTCAACTTCCCCTCCTTGTGCACTGCAGAGGTGGCCTCAGTCGAGATGGTGTGTCCTGTTGTCACACGTGGCTCATTCTTATATCCACAGGCACCCACCAAGCCCTGCACTGCAGGCCAGCTCTGGCTTCATGTGGTACAAATCCTCCCCCTCAGATGACCCTTTGAGTGCTCCTGTGCTTTGGCCTTTGCTGTGGTTCTCTTGGTGATATAAATATGTGTGGCCTGGGGTCAGAGCTGTCACAGCTCTAATCCCAGAATCTTTATGAGCTCTAACACACAGCTCTGTGGTGTCTCCATGTGAGATATTGCTGAGAAGGAACAAAGCGTTTATGGTGAAGTTTGTGCAGCTGGGAAGAGCTTGCCAAATGCTGTGTGGTCTTGCAGAAGTCCACAGGTTCTTTGTGTTGCTCTAGAGGGAAGGTGAGGATGTGCAAGGCCTGGATCACATGCAGGGAGGGGGTTACAGATGAGGCGTGTTGAGCAATGTTTGATAGTTCAGCAGTGATTCTTCATATGGGAGTATGTAGAGCCTGGGCCTGTGTGATGGGGAGGGTGAGTTTGGGTGGGGAAGTGTTGCCTGAGGGCAATGGAGATGCTGTGAAGATCACAGTGGGTGTAATTGGGGAGGAAATGGCTAATGTCAGATTAGCTGTGGAGTTGCCATTTCCCATGACACTGGATAGAGAATATCAGTAGAAAACCATGAGTAAAGGCTGGTCACATCAGGCTTCTCTCCTGGCCCCCTCTCAGGACCTCCAGTCGTTCTGCATATCCTTGTACTCTCTCCTCCATGTTACTATTGCTTGTGTAGTTATTCATCCCTTTAACAGCTTGTGTTTGATTTGGAGTGTTGTTGGCCCAACTGCAGGTTTTTGCAATGTGTATCATTCAGCCATTCTTCTCAGGCCATTGCCTCAGTCATGTGTGAGGTCTTGGTCTTGCTTGTAAGTGGACACAGCTGGTAGCATTAAAGGACAACATCCCTTAAAATCAATACTCCTTGTCCTGGAGGGATTTTTTTGTGAAGAAGCAACAGTGATGCTGATGAGGTAAGTCACTGATAACTGAAGAGGCTCTGTGTGAGAGATGGGTGTACCTTGGTTCGTGTTCAGCTTTGGTTCCTTTGTGTTGGATTGACTGCACATCTCATGGATAGAAATTCCTGTAGGTTTGGAGCAGCACTACCTGTTCTTATTCCTTTCCAGCTGTTGCCTGGCACAGGGTGAGCAGGTGGAAGCAAGGACAGATCAAGAACTGACTTTTATGTGTTTCTTGGAGTAGCTGTGTTGGGCCTACAGCAGATGTTGTCAGTGGCAATGCCCTGGTGTTACCTTGGTGGGTTTGTTTGGCTGTGCAGGTGGGACATGGGTCAGGAAGAAAAGCTCTTCAGAGAAATCTCTGAGAAGTGCTTGGGAGCTGTGGTTGCCCTGTGCTTTTTCAGTCTTCTTTTGAAGGGTCACTGTGCTTGGTTGGGATATCTTTTCAGTTCTCAAAGGAGCGTCTTCCCTTAATTCTTACTCCTTGGAACCTTTTTTTTATTAGATGTCTAAGTGGGTGGAGCCCTTCTCTGATGTGGCAGAGCTGTTCTTTGCCATCTGACTGCTATGATGTGTTATCACTGGGTCCTTGAGCTGACTGATGAAGGCTCAATGTTTGGTTTTCATCCTGAAGGGAGGGGCAGTTGTAGGTGCAGGGATGGGAGGGAAGCAGAAAGATCCAGATGGCTGAGAAGAGGAAAGGAAGAGGCATGAGAGCTTTTGTGAAAAGGCATGTGTGTGCTTGGTGGTGACAGTGGTGTAGCTATTTTTAAAGGATTTTCTTAAGGGAAAAAAATTGATAGAATATACAAGGATGAAATCATAAGGGAAGGTGAAGCAAAAAATGGCCCAGTGAAGCAAGATAGAAAGGAGAGAGAGAAAGGGAGAAGAGGAAGAAAGAACAGAGAAAGGAAGAGAAAAATCTGAAACAAAGGAAGGAATCTTTGCAAGGAAGAGGAGTGAGAGCTGTTCAGGAAGGACATGTCCGCTGTGAGTATGGCATAGAGATTTGAAAAGAATTTTGGTAAGAAAGAAAGGACGAAGGAGACAATGAAGAAAGTAAAGGAGGACATGGAAAAATAGGACAGGTAGAAGCTGGTAGGAGGAAAGAAGACACAGGCAAAGAATCCACTGATTGGTAAGCAAATAGGAGAAGAAGGAAGAGAGATAACAGCAGAATAAAAGGGAGAAGAAAAGGATAGATAAAGAAAGGAGACTACATAAATAAAAAGCAAGCCAGTATGCAATCAAGGAAGGAAGGAGAGAATGGACGAAAATAAAACCGGATAAAGTAAATGACCAGCTGATACCGACCTCACCTCTGGACGCTGAGTGAAGTTGGTCCCCAGCAGCCTCTGCTTCGGTTACAATACCTCACTCTGGTGCTGCTCCCGATAATTAACGCTGATGGCTCCGACTATGATGGCCTCCACCGCGGCGCCAGAGGGGAGTGGGGAGCTGGCAGCGGGGATAAAGAAGAGAGCAGGATGAAAAGAGAAGGGATAATGGCTTAAAGAATAATGCACAGCAGAGCAACAATCAAATGGATAATGAATAGAAAAAAGAGAATATCGTATAAAGGGAACAGTAATAAAGGAAGTGAAAAAAACCCCTCTTAAAACAGGAAGAGAAATAGAAGGAAGACAAATATGAAAAA